TATTGCTATCGTGCGGTCGTTGCTGAAGTTGGTATAACTAAAGAAGCAAGCAGTCAGCAACATTCATCTCTCGAGGGGTTGTCTAACTCTGTGTTATGGTGTGTTTGACCCTGACTTAATTTTACGCCGGAATATTCCTTTAACAAAGAAAATGATACAGTCCACCTGTTGGAAATAACAGTGGAGACAATAAGCACAAAGTAAAACAGATTACCAGTAGCAGAGAGATTTTTATTAAGGTTTACAGAATCAGAAAATGACTGAATAAAACACATGAAGCGTTTAGAGTCAAACTGAAATCCATTTCATTCATACAAATTTCTGTTGACACGGCTAAATACCAGAGGAAGATGTCATTTCTATTCTGTAACTTACAATATAAACAGTAAAACGTTGGGAAACAGGAAAAGGAGGAGGAGATCAAACTTATCATGAACAAAGCAACCACAACTCAAGCATTACAGGACTGGATGTGTGAGAAAAAGCCAACAAAAAAAAGGGAGAGGAACTTAAATAGTTGCTGCTATCATTTTAATGCCAGCAGAGAAACGCTCAAGTATGAAATAAATGTGTTCGATGCTGATGAAAGGTTGGTATTAATTCAATGTGCCAGTAAACTGATAACATCGCTGTCATCAAAGCACTACTAAATGTCCAGTCTGAAGGACTGTCTTTTAGCTGTATGAATAAAAAACAATCAACAGTGTCCTGTTTGTAATCAATACTGACTTGTATATAATAAGCTTTGCATCAGATCTTGTCTCACTTTGTTAGAATTCTATTTTGCATCACCACACACTCACTATACCCACTCCCTTCCTTATGTAATTTCATGTCGGAAATTGTTGGATGATATATTTTCTATATCAAATGACAGGCTCAGAAGATGTTGATGCATGTTTAAATTTGGCTGAAATGTTGACTGATAAGAACATGTTTCTGGCCCCAATAGATTGTGTTGTGTATTTTAGCCTGGTTCTTTGCCGTTACATAATTATTAGGATGTTGTATTTTATGGAAAAACCAAGAAAGTGGACTAATCCTCGACTGGGTTCTTAAACTTTTTAAATGGCATACTTTAAAGCTGACTGGGTACATAAAATAAAAAAGTATAATTATAAAAAACACTTGGTCATCACTTAGCTAACATTCTCTTTGTACTTTACTTGCAAACAGTTCATACTCTGGTTTGCCACTTCTACTGTTGCTGTTTGACAAATGCAAGTTGGCTTTTACACCCCATTACCCATAAAAGCTGAGCAGAAGGTCTTCAGTTTGGTCAGTGAACACTTCACAATCCCTGTTTTTACTGCTTAATCCAGCCCTTGTCCTCATCCTTCCTGCTTCCTCCTCTTTTTATCTCTCCATCTCTACCTCTCTGTCAACCTTCCTCCGCTCTCTCTCTCTCCCTCTCTCGCTCTGTCACCTCACCTCCATCTCAGCTTTTCATTTAGACGTCCCCCTCCATGCCGTATTCCTCTCACTTTTTTGTTAACCCTCTCCCACACACACTTTATCTCCATATGATTCATTGACCCTCTCTCTATCTCTGCAACTGTCCTCGCAATCTCTCGCTCCATCCACCCCCTCTATTTCCACCTCTTAAGCACATCCTTTTTTCTCCTTTTCTCCTCCATCTCTCTTCCTTTTAAAGGATAATCTTCAGCTAAGTGGACAGCACTTCGCTCACTCTCACTCCCTCTTAAGTGAGCATCCGATAATCTGAGGATTCTCTGTTGAACTCACACACAGAGGGAGGGCAGATGGATCAGGAAGCCCAGAATGGAAGGCCTAAATTGGGTCAAGAAAAGGCCAGAGGCTGGGTCTGCTGGGGGCTGGTGGGAGCGGAGTGGGTTGGAGAAAGGGCTGATGCCAAACCAAGTTGGAGAGAGATCATCAGAGCAGATGGACCTCATCTCTCTCTCCTTATTATCTCTGTCTTCAAGGCTGCAAGGCCTCAACTTTTCGATGAAAACACAGGAAATCACTATTTTAAAAACTGAACTGGGGCCAAGAGGTCACAACACTGACACAAACACATGCACACAGAAGTTGTGCTGATTGTACAAGATTGGTCCTACCTCCTTACATGAGAGAAAAGAAGCCCTTAGTCAGGCTACACACATTTACATACACACGTTCCTGTTTTTTCTTTCTTCCGCTGTCCTCTGTACGGGTCAGTGGGCAAATACAGCTACTGTCACTTTCCTTCGGGAGGCATTGGTGACAGCCAGGCTGACCACGATAAACTTCCGCTCAGGAAGAGGAGATCCCTGCAAGGAAAAGGCCAGGGAGATCAGGAACGGCCCTGGGCATCACTTGTCCTCTGGTTTAGCTAAAGACACTGACAACACAGCCTACTGTGTGTGTGTGTGTGTGTGTGTGTGTGTGTGTGTGTGTGTGTGTGTGTGTGTGTGTGTGTGTGTGTGTGTGTGTGTGTGTGTGTGTGTGTGTGTGTGTAACTGGGGTTTGGGCTGAGTAAAGCATTGCTGTTCTACTGTAACAAAGACGTTCAATTGGGAACGTTCATACAGTGTATGTTGGGGGCCTGTGGATGAGTACTAAATTATGTTGCAATCCCACACAATTTTAAGGATAATTAACCTAAGGCTTCAACTGTCAATTAGATTTTGGTAACAAATAAAAAGCCCGGCAATTACTCAAGTCAGCAAGATCTATTTAAAAAAACAGTATGATCATTTAAATTCCAAAACAAGCCATTAAAGTTCCCACAAGGAGCTTTCTGTTTGTATAGATTTTGGTGCCCCCTGTAGCCAAAACAGTACCTCTTTTATTGTTAATGATCTTGACCTGTTCATGTTATTTTCTGACAAAAATCTTCCCCTGCTGTTTATTTTTTGAACAGTCAAATATGTAACCCTTCTTTAGTAATTCAAATTGTCTTAGCCATCTCATCACAGTGATTACAATATAGAAAACAACAATGTGGAAACTGGCATTTTTGTATTTGGTCTTGTTTGCACCTGCAGGTCATTAAGAGGGCTTAATTTTTCTAATAATTACAATTCAAAATTAATAATTCCAGCCAGTTTTATAACCAGTTGAAGCTCCTTTTGGGTTTTGAGTTGCTGTTAAGATTGGCCAGTCTGAACCACTGTGATGGCACAACCTGCAGACCACATGATGGCATGATGTGGTTTAGGATGATATAGTGTATTTATGTTTGGGTTGGGTTAGAATTTAATGAACTCTACTCTAAGTTTCAAAACAAACTCAACAAGGTCCAACTGAAAAAATAACTATGCATCAATAAGTGACTTACTTTAATGATTTATATCCATAAACGTTTAGTGAGGGAAATTACAGCTCTTTTTAGTGAGCCAGATCATTCGGCTTAGCTCACCAAGAAGAGCCGGCTCTTTCGGCTCCGAAACGGCTCTTCATTTTACCACTTATACATTTTCTAATTTAGCCAAATTTAGCCTTGTTTGGCTTATGATATGTACCTACGTGTACACATACCTCTTAAATAACTCAATACATCCTTTGCAACTAAGTATTCACAAGTAAAAATACCAGTAAATTGCTATAACCAATAGTTTTCATTGCATTTAAAGACCCTTGTAACTCCCTGAAACCACCCAGTGAATGCACTGACTTGCTTGTGGAACCACTCTGCTACACAAAGCAGATAGAAATCCTACCATTCTGCCTTGTAGCTTTTTCTACAGTTCGTGGGGGGGTGGGGGGTGGGGACGGCTAACAAACAGGAGCCGGCTCCCATCGTTCACCTTCGCGTCTGACACATCACTATAACAGACAGAAAGAGCCGGAAACAAATAACACTTAACCCAAAACCTCCACAACATGCTTGTATGATTGTGTGTTTTTACAGAGGGATGGAATCCTTGCACTCCGGAAAAACTTCCTCTTTCCTTCTTTGCTGGGTGATAAGTTTTTGACCTCAGGTACCTTCTCCTGCCGTGTAAAACACAAGCTGCTCCTCAGGTCTATCTAGAACATTAACAGGAGGAGGGAGGGGACATTATTCTTAGAGCACATATTCATACCAATGGAACAAAAGAGATAGCGTCCTATTATGGTCCTTTCCTCTGTCCTAACACTGGATCTGAACTGCCACAGGTGCCACTGCGGCTCATTTATAGTCAGGTTAGGCCATGAGGAAGGCATGGAGCCGTGATGTGGCTTTCTCACATACACACGCACACACATACATCAGATTAAAAGACAATGATTATGGGTGAAAATAGAGAGATTACCTTACTGTGTCTTTGAGGAACTATGTGGTGAATGTAGTGTCTGTTGCTCATGTCTGCACAATGACGGTGTGTTGGGAGACAGAAGAAGGAGGGAGAAAGAGAGAGAGAGAGAAAGAGGGAGAATTGTACATTTTTGCAGTCAAATTTAGTGACCTATGTTTATACGCTAATATTGCCCTGACTGGCATTTTACAGTTTTAAACACTGAGTACAATTGCTTATGTGTGTGTGTGTGTGTGTGTGTGTGTGTGTGTGTGTGTGTGTGTGTGTGTGTGTGGTGGGTGTATGCACCTAACAGTCCGATCTTTTATCTCTATTACAATGAAGCCACAAATAGGCACATGCCTGGCTATTCTTATCCTCTCAAGGCTCCTCTGCTGTTGTGGTGAATGTACCCATGCATACAAGGGGTTAGGGAGAGATTTGGATCGGAGCGTGTGTGTGTGAGTGTGTGTGTGTGTGTATGTGTGCGCGCGCACGGTAGCTATACACCCACAGAAAACATCATTTTTCTCTCATTGTGCTTATACGTGCATTTATTTTGTAAGAAAAGCAGCATGTTTTTTTTTTTCAACACTAGTTTTCTTTCCTTTCTCGCACACTTTGCCTTTTCAAATTAAAACACACTCTTGCATATGAGTGAATTTATTGGCAAAATGAGGCTTTTACTTAGAAATTGGATTTTGGGGAGGTGATTATCGGTGCAGTTGCATGCCAAGCATCACAGTTTTTTTTTTCTTATTCTTTTCCAGAGTGGGTTTTAAATTGTAAGGGAGAAGTTATAAAGGAATGCAAAGAGCTCTGCATTGGTTGGTCTGTTATCTTTACCTCTCACTCTGTAATAAAAATTAAAGGAAACGGTCATCAGATAACCTGACACTTAGCACGTACTTTATCCTTTGTTCACTTTTATGTCTCTGTTGGGTGGTGAAGCCTGCAAACAGGCGGTAAAATCCTCTCCTTTTCTTTCCAGAAACATTATACTTCCTCCAGAGGGGCTCATGATGGAAAGGTGCATCTCCTCAGCCAACTTGGGCACACCCTGAGGTAAAAGGAGAGGAGAGATCTGATTGGTCCAAAGCACCTGAACCATGCCGGCACACGACAGGATGAGGGTGTCAGCACCTATCTGTTAAATGCATGCTTCCTGCTGCTTTTTTTTTTTTTTCTGTTGTTTTTCTACTTTTTCTTCCACTCATCCCCCTCTTCGTCAGGAAGTCATTGAAACAAGGGGAAAAAAGTAAGATGAAGATTGGGAGGGGGGGGGTTAGGATTGTTCCAAATTACCAAAGCTTTGCTTAATCACCCATTGCAAAGCCAAAATTTCTAAAGATAGCTGAGCTGGAGGGAGGAGGAAGAACAATGGCAGAGATGAGATGGGCGATGAGATGGAGGAAGGGAGGAGGAGGAGGAGGAGGAGATGAGGGCAAAGGGGTGGGGGTCTTCTCTAGGGTCGTGCTCTGAGGGCGTCGGGCAGCACGAGTGGCAGGATGTTATGGTTTATTCAGCCTAGGAGTGGGGGCGACGTGGACAAGGTGTGCCTTGCCCTCAGCACCAGCCTCAGCGTGATTTATAGCAGCGCTGGCAGACGCTTCTGTCCACGGGGAAGTCTTTGAAAATGCCGGGAGTGATTTGCATGAATGTAGGCCTGTGAATACACAATGCACGTACTCTAGTGTGCATGGTTTCAGTGATGTGTAATGCGTGTGCATTCACCTGTGTTCTTGTATAAGCTGATGTTTTTTAACCTGTGGGTGAAGAATGTTCATGTATGCCCCCAACAGGGGATAGATGGTCAGGCCACTCTGATTAATTGCAAGTTACAAGTAAGATTGCACCATAAGTAAAGCCTGGATCCTAAAGGCAATGCACAAAAAAGTAAGGGAAATAACAAGGAAAGTGCTTTAATTTTATAAAAACATACACAATGATTGAAGATGAAATCACAGCACTAACTTTAGTAAGGTACGAACACAAGATATACAAGAGTGTAGGAAATTATCACTTTTCTGTCCTCAATACATGTATGTATCCTCACATACAGACACATTTTGTTTCTTTCCTATCATCATGACAGTGAAAATGGGAGTCTACTTGTCCACAAATGGTATGAAAAGTATGACAAAGGCATAATCAGTCATGTGCTGGCTTTCAAATAAACAAATGAAGGGTAAAAAAAATAAACTCCACACTATCTGTCACATCTATTTATTTTTTATGTTTTGAGTACCATGGGTCAGCAGGGACATGTCTAGAGCAACGGCCAAGGGGAGCATGAGCCCTCCAGTAGTCGAATTGGCCACCCTTGGTGCCAACCCAAAATCTTTTTAAGAATGTGCATCACTTAAGTCTCTGACCAATTTTTTCCTTAAGAGAAATATATTGTATCATATCATATAGTATTGTACTGTACAGTATTGTATCGTATGGTATCATGTAGGGTATCATATCGTATTGTATTGTTTTATTCAGTATCGCATCATATCGTATTGTATCGTATTGTATTGTCTGTATAGTATCATCTTGTATTGTAAAGTATCATATTGTATCGTATCGTATTGTACTATAAAGTATTGTATCATATAGTACCATATTGTATCATATTGTATTATATTGTATCGTATCATATTGTATAGTATTGTATTATATCATATCATAGCATATCGTATTGTATCATATTGTATTGTTTATTGTATCGTATTGTTCGGTATTGTATCATATCGTATTGTATCATATTGTGTTGTATAGTATCATATCGTATCGCATCCTATCTTGAACCACAAGAGGCTCTTTGCTTTGTCAGCGACAGGACTTGGGTTAAAATTCACCGTCTGGCCTTTGTTGCAACACAATGTTAGCTGTTTTCTTTGCTTTAGCACATTTATAACTGAAAGTCACATCTATTGTTGTGACTCTAAATTCTAGAAAATTACTGTAAATTTTAGAGTAGCACACATGTTAAAAGTGTGTGCATGGATAAAGTAAGTGGGACCTATACACTGGAGTAACCAGTATACCAGTATAAAATACAGAGCAGTTTATGATATTTCCCCTAGAAGATGGACCAGCTCTTGTGGAGCGCTGGTTTGGTTGAAAAGACTCCTTAATTTTAAGAGAAGTGACCAGCAGAGGCTGGTGTGCAAGTCTGACAGGGTGCAATGGGTCCTCCATATCACACAACTATCTACAACGATCTACAGAGTCACACAGAAATTGCATATTGCAGAATGCAATGGAAGGCATCATGCAGGAACACAGATTAAATCTTCTCTTCTCTGAAAGCCCCCCAAAAACAAACTGTGTGTTTCGCACCATGCGACTGATTCTCCAGATTTGATGGTACTTCACAATGCATTTTATAAGGCAGACTAAAATTGCAAGCAAACTCAAACACACTATATTTTAAAACAGTGTTGGCAATTTGCAGAAGTTTACTTTTCTTTTTCTTTTTTTCAGTTCAAATAGTGATTTAATACTACAGCTTCCTTTTGAGCCCTCAAAGAATTAAATTAAGAATTACATGTTCTTCCTTTTTTGTATTCATTTGTAAAGTTGAAAATAAGACACAGGATTATAACATCTGTTTGGTGCTTATATGTAGCTCTTAACCATTTAAGTGTGCACACACATACTTCATACCACCTCTGCATGAATCACTGCATCAGTTGGGTTGAAAAAGGTCTCAACAGGCCTCTGTTTGGTTCTGGCAAAACAGCACCCTCCAGTCTTAAGAAATGAAGCTAATGCATAAGTGCTAAAAAACTACAGTTTCTTGAGGCCGGCTGGAAGCACTAGAAACTATGTACAAATAAGTGAAAGAAAATAAGTCCATTCAAGAGCAAAAATAAACACGTTATCAGCCTGGTACAAAAAAATGGCATTGGCCTGAAAAGCTCAGGGTTCCCACTGTCCAGGGAGTGGGATTTTTTTTGTAATGCATTTGTTTTGAAATTACGATTACAAGTTTGGGGAATTAGAGGCATGACTGACAATTCTCTCATCGGAAAACTCCCTCTCATCTTTAAACCTGCGAATTTTCCTGCTTTCTACACCACCTTTGAGGGAGGGGGAATGTTCACTTTTTGCCTTTTATATTCCTCACACTAACAGGTGAGTCATTGACTGATTATCTGTGAGAAGATCATGAATGTTGTTCAATGTAGTTGTCAATCATAGGTTTATACAAACAATGCAAATGTATCAAAATTACTTTGACTAAAATCTGTTTTTACCATTCTCATATTTAGGTGTTTATTTATGTAATATTAGGGACTGATCTGTATACTAGCCTTCACTGTGATTCGCACTGTTTTCATTATTGCATGTTGATTGTTCAGGGGCTAAGTTCAGTGATAGTCAGTTTTTTTTTCTCAGTCAGAAAGTTGGTGGTGGATTAACTCAAGTTAACTTAAAGTCACAAGTCTCAAGTGTTTTAATGGTCTTTTCAATTAAAAAGATCACAAGAATATGCATTATTATTAATTTATTGATTAAAAATCATGGTTAAATCCACCAAGCCTGTGCAGTGTAAAATAGTGTCATATCAGTTTGACAGATTTCTTTTTTCAAGTTAGAAACAAAAACCTTCTTAGGTCTTTGTGGTGTGTATTTGCCTGCCTGTGCATGCATGTATTTGCAGGTCTATGCAGCCTTACCCTCCACATGACCTCCCCTGAGGCAGCCAAACCTCCTCTGGTGTGAGAGATCACTGAGAAGTCACCAGAGGTCACCAGAGAAAAGCTGCCGCGGAGTGTTGAGGAGTCTCGCTGGATGCCGGGCCTTAAACATCCACATTGACAAGGAAGGGGGGTCAGAGGTTACGCAGATACATAAACCAGACAAAAGGGTGCCAACAGGTACAAGACGTGTGAATGTCCACTGGTGTAACAGGAGAGCAGAGTGTTGCAGAGAGCTAAACTTATATTGTGTGGCGAGAGGGGCACTTAAAGCTACTTAAGCCTTGTAAATGTCACTTCATACCGTATAGACGCCTCTCTTTATGGTATTTGGGGAAGTGTAGAATGGCTGAAGCACAGGTAACTGATCACTAATTACTCTTAATTGCCTCAGCCAGCTACAGAGAGCTTTGCCTGAGTGAGAGAGAGAGAGAGAGAGAGAGAGAGAGAGAGAGAGAGAGAGAGTGTGTGTGTGTGTGTGTGTGTGTGTGTGTGTGTGTGTGTGTGTGTGTGTGTGTGTGTGTGTGTGGGGGGGGGGGGGTGTTTAACAAGCATACAGTCGTAGAAGCCATTAAAATCTCATTAACCTGCGTTTTATTTGAAGCCCCCTGCCCCTGTCCATCAAATCCCTTAATGTATTTTCCGTGTTTTTTTTTCCTCCTTCAGATTTAATTTAGCTCCTCTTTGATTTTTACAACTCGCCCCTGTTATTGTAGGATATCTTCTCCTTTTCCTTGTAATTTTATTTTATGGCGTGGAGTGAGTCGAGTACAATACGCCCCCCGGGGAGGACCACTTACCTCCACGCCAACAAATATAATTACGGCTGATCAGAGGAGAGAAAACAGACCGCCGCTTATCTCCCACAGCCCGTTTCTTTTTTTTTTTTTTTTTTTCATTTCCAGTGAAGTCGCGGTAGTGGATGAAGCTCATGTAGATCTAGAAAAAAGGATAGACAGAGAGCGTTGTAAAGCTGCATGTTGTCCGACTGGAAAAGGTTTAACTTTTTTGAAGGGCAAGAAATTATGAGTGGAGGGAAAAGATCAGAGAGTGTAAAGTGGTCCTTGAATACAGTCTTGCTTTAAGCAGCAAAAATAAACCAGACCTCAAAGTCTGTACCTTTCAGGTCTATGCTACAGGGCGGTAGTGGGTGTTGTAGGTAAAATCTTGAGGGGAAAAGTTGATCCACGCTGAATTGATGCAATAATGACAACTTGGATTGTTGCCGAATTCAGCCCATGGATCAGACAAACTTGCACAAAGATTATTGTAAGGCTTCTTACTCAAGAAATGCTGCCACGGGATGGTCATATTAATATTGGCACATTATTGAACGGAGTTTGGCGTAGATTTAACCTCGCCTTGACACGCACTCAAAGCACCCGCAGAGCCAGCTGTGACCGCGGCCTTGCAGTGAGGAAAATAGGCTAAGTTGCCGCCAGAAGTAAACAGCTAAAGTCCTTTCGTGTTTACCAAGTAAAGTCCTCTGCTCTGTGTTGACAGGTGAGAGTTCATAGGAGCAAAGTTGGTCCCCTCGCGCCCGAGCTGCCAGCCCCGGCTGTGTAACCCTCAAGAAATGGTTGGTGTGTGTGTGCGCGCGCGTGTCAGACAGAGGGAGAGATAAACAGAGAGAGTTGCTGAGGGGGCTCTTTGACTTTGAGCGCATAAGCCTTTATTTCATGGTGCCATTGTTTGTTTTAAGGACGACAGGCTTAATACAGTTCCAGGCGATTTCCCAGCATGTCTGTCCGCACAAGAACCTCCAAGGCGCTCTCTGTATGTGCGCGTGTTGACGTATGCGCGCGCCCTTTTTTATTCCCGTTGACTTCAGTTTAACTCTCATGGGCAGCTTTTTTTTTTTAAGTGTGTACTTTCAAGGTTGTTCGTAAGACATTTAGCTTTAACTCAGACTTTTTAAAAAAACTTAACCGCGTCATTTTGCGTGAGAAAAACGTCAGATGTGCGTCTTATTTCAACGATTTTTCACGTTGTAACGTGTTATCGTGATACTTCGAGTGTATCGGAGGTTTTAATGAGTTTGACTGCAGACATATTCCCATCAGCCTCACTGAACAGCATCCTTTTAATTGCCTATTATTTTCATCTATGCAGGCCAGACATGGAGAGTTTTTTAACATTTGAGCAAACAGGTCTGGAAACATGATTTTTATTTTAATCTTGGGAACTGTCTTAATGTTGTTCATCTGCCTGTTTATCTATGTGTGAGAGGGAACATTAATAATAACCTGCAGTAAGAGCAAAGTTACACCTGGCATTCGTTGATCGTTTCATCTTATATTTTTCATGTATTGTTCTGTTTGTGTATGAGTTCATAATTTCATTTTGAACGTTGGGTCAGAAATAACTTCTTAACAACCATTCACGTAGCATAAAACGCAACGCTGAGTGTGTGTGTGTGTGTGTGTGTGTGTGTGTGTGTGTGTGTGTGTGTGTGTTGCATAAAAAAGGCCACAGAGGATGACCAGCTTCTCTCTCTCTCTCTCTCTCTCTCTCTCTCTCTCTCTCTCTCTCTCTCTCTCTCTCTCTCTCTCTCTCTCTCCATAATCAGCCCTACCTGTAGCCCCCAAAAGAGGGATGTGGGTCACTGCAGGGGACCACAATCTTCCAGCTATCACAGCCCCTGACAGCCAAGAAGTAATTTTCCCAATAATAACATCAATGTAAATTTCTGCCTTTTTTTCTTCTTTAGACCTATATTATCCTCACATCATACATGCAGACTGCTGTATTTTTTCCTTTAAATTGGTTTTATCTGGACAGCAGGTACAAGTGTGATGCTCCTCATCGTTGCTGCTGAAAGCTGAATACATTAAGTACTGGACATGAGGCCCAACAATGACTGTAGAGGCTGCTGAGAGTCAGACGCCTACTCACTTTATTACACTTGGACTAATCCTGTCTCCTCCTCTCTTCTCCTCCTCTCCTCTCCTCTCCTCTCTTCTGTCCTGTCTCCTAAACCTTTTTATTCAGAGACCCGGAGACCTCTCCGGAACAAAACAGCTTTTAGCGCTACCATCTCTCCCTGCTTCTGTTTTCGCAAATAGCTCTCCCTCTCTCTCTCTCTCTTATTCCTCTTAAAAAACAGTCTGTGAAGAGAAATGGAGCTGTTGTAGGAGCTCATCAAGTCATTATCTGATTAATGCCATTTTCTGACCGCTGATGCTCAAGAGATTGCTGCTTTTTTCACAATAAAATTCAATCTTTCAACAACAATAATCCACATAACTTCAATTCAGGCAAGCTGTGTGATGACGTCTGTTGATTTTCTGTTTCCACTCCACTGAAAAAATAAGGCTATAGGCCAATAATCGGGCTGCAATAATAATAATAATAATAATAATAATAATAATAATAATAATAATAATAATAATAATAAGTTGACCTGACGTTGATCCAAACAATTGGAGGAAAACTATGGACCACTGGTTCTTATCCACTCCGGCATTCCATAACTGCGCGCTTTTATGATCACATAATTGTGCTCAGAACGTGTTAAAAAGTACCTTTATAACACCCCTGGGAGATATATTGTTTTCATTTCCTCTCTTCTTCTGCCTTTGGGCCCGCTTGTAATAAATATGTCAATAAATTCAGCCATCAGTGCCAGCGCGCATTATCAGTCTTGGGCATCGAGGTGTGTCGCTCGTGTGACCCAAAAGAAGAGGGGGGAAAGTGAGTTTGAAATAAATCCCCGGGCTGATCCACCTGGACTGGGCCGCTGATAAGAGCAGCCAGAGTTAGGCAGCACGTTTCCTCTACACCTCATCCGAGTCTTCCTTTTCCAAACACGCGTTTCTTTAATGTCCCGGCCTGTTTTTCCAGCCTGTGTGCGCACCGACGGCACCCAGGGGAGCTGAGGCCAAACGAGCCACATGCAGACCGGTGCAGGGCAGCAGAAGGGGGCCAGGACACCTGCTTTGGAAAAGACACTCCAGACAGTTAAAGTTTGCTGACTTCGATGCAATTCGTTGGTCCGAAAAAACACTTGCTTGCTGCATGGAAAAGAGACTCGCCTTTTCCCTTTTGGCAGCTGACAGACGAGCATATGGAAAATTAGATTTATCGTTAAGTACGTCAGGATCCTGTTTGTGCAGAGGATAAAAAAGGTGATTCTGTGAGCAATAAATGTGGCCAAAGTGAGAAGATGGAAAAAAAGATCAAAAGCGTACTGATCTCATGACCACTCTGAATGTTCAGCTCTATTTTCACTCTTTTAAAAACAGGATAAATGTCACTCAAATTACAGCTGATAACACATTTCATGTTTGTCGCAAAACAAAATATAAGAGCAGTTTATTTCAGGAATTCTTAATTTAACTCTCTGTCTTTTATATTAAACATTTGCTGAGTCGTGTGGATGTGACCTGTTTTATCCGGAAATATCGTTTACAATAATTATCCCGCGACAAAACAAAATAAAATGGCACAAAAAATAAGTCATTCCTTAATATCATAACGAAACTACGCGTGTTGCATGCACACCTGTTGTAAATATGGAAATTAAAAGTATTTACAGAGCAAAAAATATGCAATGAAATCGTATAAATTGTTGGAACATAAGAGGATGAGGACGAGCAGCCATAGTTTGTCCATAAATCTGAGGCATCAAACAAGTTTTTTTGCGGATGTGATCAGATGTCAGGGTCCGCGGGGTTGAGCCTATCAGGTGAAAGGGTTAGGAAAATATGATAAATCGCTTAAATAATTTAGAATTTTCCTCAACAATGTACTTTTCCTTCTTTTTATTTACGATCAGTTCAACTTGATAAACGGTGAGTGGTGACGGCGCAGTCTTTTGCGCGTGGAGGGGAGATTTCAGTGGCAGACTGTGGATCCGAGTGACAGACGTTTCATGATGATATTCGGCTCTCCACTGAGCATTTCCACAAAGAGACGTTTAGCTCTCCGCAGATATTGGCTTTCCTGGATAATCTGAATTCCAAAGCAAAGCTCGGAGCCTCTGTGTTGCTCTGACTGCTTGTCCATAAATCAGACTTAGCTGCAACCAATGAGGAAACTGTGCGCGTAAAATATCTCTACATGCCACTCTGAACCTCCAATACCCAAAGGACGCAGCAATACTGTTATTCTATTTGCGAGGTTGTCCTCTAGATATGTGGCTACCGATGCCTTTGAAAATAAAAGTTAAATACGGACATTAAAAATAATCGTTTGCCTTAAATAAAGCAGGATCAACTTACACGGCTGGCAATTATTAAAAAAACGTAAAGGCTTTAAAGAATGTAATTGTAACTTAAAAGGTCCTCATAAACACGTTTGGAGCAACACGAGCTGTGTGAGGGGGGTAAAATAAACGGTTATTTATTATTTTACAGCCACGTGAAGGGATGTGAAGTGTCGCAAACATTGACTACCCGTGTGATAGATGAATTAAACGAAATAGTCGTGTTTAAGTCATGCTTTTGATTTTAATGTTATTAATCCAAAAAGAGGAACTATCATTATTTTTTACGTTTCAACTGGTTGATCTTATTTTGATTCTTGGTAGTACTTTATTGGTTACTATCTCTCGGACAACGACCTCAAAAGTGAAGACTGTTTCCATTTAAACCATGACACAAGAGTTAATGAAAAGCACTACTTAAATGTGGAATGTGTGTTTTAATGGTGTAAAGTCAAAGTGCGTAACGAGTCTTACTCGGGCTGTCGTCGGTTTGAGAAGAAAGAGATTTGTAAGAGTGCTATTTCATTTTCCCCCCTCTCTCTCTCTCTTTACTTGCATGCTCAAGTCCCATTCTCTGGTCAAGTTCAGTGCGTTGTTCTCCGGACCGGACGGACGCTTCTTATTGGTAGGTTGCGACAGTTACATCACGAAGCTCGTGACGCGCACGTCTTCCTGTTTCCTTCAGCCGCATCTTAAAGTGAATCTTAGTGGCGGAGGAGCGCTCCAGCATCCAGTCCTCTGCATCCAGTGCGCCTCAGAGACGCACACACGCAGTCTCTCTCTCTCTCTCTCTCCCTCTCTTTCTCTCTTGCACTCTCTATGTCTCTCACTCTTCTAGTCACAGCAGAGGATAGCGAGAGAGACCGACGCGCAAGACCTCTTTTCATCTTCTAATTTTTCCTGTTTTGTTCCTTTTGCGCGTGTCGCTGACCTTATTCCAGCTCTTCCTTCTCTGAGAATTTTTCATAGTATTCCAACAAACCAGCAATCCGCTGTGTAATTTCTCTCCTTTTTGTCACCGTAGGAGTTCAGGTTGTCCCCCTCTTCATCTAAAGGGTAAGTAACCTTGTCCTCGGATACCTCCCTCTCTCTTGTTCTGTTTCTGACTCGCCTGTGCGCGGTGGGCGGAAAAAATAAACAAACCAAACATCATTAACGCGTAAATTTACTCCGGTGATCAGCAGCTAATCATATCTATGCGACAATTATTTGCTCTGTTTCGCTCCCCTCATCTGGATGTGTGCTGAAGAGTTGCGTGAGCAGCCAGTGTTTTCGCGAGGATGATTTGCGGACTGTAGCCCAACCTTCCTCATCAAAGCGGAGATCAAGTTGATTTGAAACTTTGTGAAGTAAGTTTGGGAGGCGAGTGTGTTTTTCTTTTTCCCTTTTCAGCAAAGAGGACAGTAGATTTAGACATGCGTTGATTTTGGAGTAAAACTGAGGTTTATCCCTCTTTTGATTTGACCTTTTATTGTCTTTGTCCTGGAGGCTAGGTCTTCTTTCAACACCTCAAACAAAACTTCTTATTCAGGAAGCGAAGGGGATTGTGTTTGGAGTCTGTTGTGTACAGCGGTACTTTGGCCAAATTGTGCTGAAATGCTGCCGGCTCATCGCTGTGTGTGTGTCAAGTGTGAGCAACTCAGGCTCTCAGGTATGGAAATATTGTCTACCTCAGTCCCCGAAGTGTGCCAGACAGAGCCAGATTAAAGTGTAGTGTTGTTGCACTTTCAGTTTTACCTTTAACAGAATTTCAATCAAGTTTGGACCAAGTTTCTAACCTGAACTTCAGCTTGTTATTTTTGACTCGTTTTATACTTGGAGGTTTCAGGGTAAAAGAAAGTTCTCCTATCTGGTACAGAGGTGTAAAATTTATATATCAAGCCATAAAAGTTTGAGTTGTGTGTACATCTATGACTAGTTGTTGTATGTGTGGTTCATAGCTTGAGATTGTTGGAAGCTGTTTTTAAAACAGAGAGAGCATGGGCAATAGAAAACAGGTGCGATTTCAGAAAAGACAGGTGCTGGTGACTATTTCAAGCTCATTGTTAGGATCCTGAGGCGATCAAGTCAAGTATTTTTCTAGGAGATATATCACCTCTTGTTTGAACTGCTGATATGGCTGTCAAGACTTGGACTAAAGCCATTTTTCAAAGAGCTGCAGTTTAGAGCACTGCTGGGAAAGGGATGCTTTACGAGAAAAAAACAATATTCACATCAGTCTATTCTTATCAGCAAATTTGTACTTGTACAGGTTTATCTTGCGAATAAGGTAAATATTCAGGGAAAAAAACCAACTTACGCCACTGGTGTGGTGCACCACACACCACATTACATATCACAAAAGCCAAAAGTAAAGTTTCGTGTGCGCGTGTCTGACTGTGTGTGTAGTGTGAGAGTGTTTTCCAGACTGTTTGAAAAGATAGATGCCAGTCTTTTAAAAGTGTTTTCACACGCCATTCTTAAAATGAAGATGTTAGTTATTTCAATCAAAGATTACTTTTTTTTTTTTTTTTAAAGGACATTCTCTTTTATCTGAAGAAAGTTTATTACACCCAAGACACAGAAGCGGAGCCTCAGCTATACATTTGCCTTGTCTCTAAATCTAAATGCGACTATTTTGTACGAGGAACAAATGTAAAAAATGAGTAGCATTTTAAACAAAATTAAATGTTCAAAATATTTGTAAAATATATAATTGGAGATATGATAATATTTTATTTTGAATTTTGAATTTTTTTGACTGGATTTTAAATACAGGTGTTTTCCTTCGAAATGTGTAAATGAAAACGTAAACTGTCACATCACTCCTTTATTTATTCTGCTCTGAAAACATTGTCATATCTACATTTTACTCTCATAACAAAAATTTTTTTTTACGTACTTTGGCCGGTCAAACTGCCTCTGATGACTACTGCATCCGAGATTTGATGCAGCTGATTCGACTCTGACTAAGATACTGCCACTGCTGCTGCTGCTTACATAGCATTCTTGATGCAGGCCTGTTCTGACAAAACGTTTTGCTTTCAGAGAGGCATTAGGGTTTTTGTATGAGTGCTTTAAGTTGCTCCTTGCCAGAGTTGACCCTTGCGACCTATTCATTTGAGCAGAATTAACTGCCCTTGCCAGATGAAAAGACAAACAAAAAACACAGAAGTGAGCTCACGCTGGCACCAAAATCAATAGGCCTATTTTGTGTTTCTTTTATGTGTCACCCTCCTCATTGCTTAATATACGACAGTCATGTAGATTAATGTGAATGTAAGTTTTGTGATTTAAAATTGCACACTTTTTTAAGTATTCAAATGTTTTCTTAAACTTGTGCAACTATTGCTCACTTTATTAGGTTTCATGCATATAAGTACATGAAGTGTGTATAAGAACAAGAGCTGTTTGCAATTCCTCTCCTTGTTTGCTCGAAATTTAAGATACTCTTAACCCTGTTTCTTTTAATTTTATTTTGTTAGTTAATAGCTCATATGTTGGCTCACACCACAAATATGGAAATGAGGACAAGTACTTAAGTAATTATCATAATTTTATGCAGCTTTGTGTTCCGTGGGAACTGGTTCAGTGTCGCGCGGCATGTAACAGGGGACAGGATCAAATCTAGGACTTTGCCCTGGAATGTCGAGCCAAAGCCTAATTCTGACCCCATCTTACACGTTCATTTTTCCGCGTTGTCTTAAAACAATGTAATAAATGTCCCTTTTTGTTTGGAGGCACACAAGAAGGGAATGTTTGATTTGTTTCAACAAAAATCTGAAATTTAATCCATAATTTGAGCAAATGTATTTCTTAAGAGGTCGATGGATTAGATTTTTTTCAGTTAACGGAAAACTTTCAAGCTCTTCTTTTCAATGTGATTCAGTTTTATAATTTAAGTATTTAACGACATGTCCAGCCTGAGTGTGTGTGACTTTGACTAAAAATATTTCCTGCCTTTGAGAGTCACGCATTTGTGAATTTTGCCAACAGGTACTTGGAGGCTTTGATCCTAGAGGACTGGGTTTGTGGGATATGGCCCAATAGCAGCAGCCCGTGATGCCGGACCATGACAGCGACTCCCTCCTGAACAGACAGACCAAGCGAAGACGTGTGGACATTGGTGTTAAGAGGACCGTGGGCAGCACAGCCTCAACAGCAGCAGCAGCCACAACAACCACTGATAACATTGCCCGCGCCAAAGCAGCCATTTTCAGTGCCATGAACTCTCTGAGCTCCCACTCTCAGCACGGATCAGACACCGACTCCATGGAGTGCTCTGTTGTGCAGCCACATGGTGGGCCTGGCGTTGTATCAGCCAGCGACAGTGAGTCCAAGTCCAATGTACTCCGAAAGCTACTGAAGAGGGCCAACTCATACGAGGACACCATGATGCCCTTCCCTGGTACCACAATTATCTCCCAGCTTCTCAAGAATAACATGGCTAAAAATGGAGGAGGACCTGAGAGGGGAGACAGAGGAGACAGGGGTGATCGAGGGGATGCTGGTTTCCCTGGATCAGGGCTCTCTAATGCAAGTTCAGATGCTCCCCAGGAAGATGCTTGTAGTAACTCTTCCCAGGACAGCACTCCTCAAGAATGCTTGTCACCATTTGGTCGTCCACCTGGCCTAGCCGCCTTTGACATTGAACGTCTCAATGATGAACACCTGCGTGCCAAGCGAGCCAGGGTAGAGAACATTATACGTGGTATGAGCCACTCACCCAGTGTAGTGGTACCAGCAGCTTCACGTCATGAGCGTGACCATGATATGGATGGAGAAAGGGAGATGGAGCTAGACTGTCCACCCCCTCAGTCTCAGCAGCAGGCCCCAAGCAGCCCACGGGGAGGCGAGGTGTGCAGCAGTAGCAGTCGGGAGAACAAACGCAAGCAGCGTCTGCCTCAGCAGCAACAGCAGAGCTTCACCCAGCTGGTGTGTCAGAGAAAGGAACAGAAGCAGGAGGAGCGACGCCAACTGAAACTTCAGCTAGAAGACATGCAAAAGCAGCTACGTCAGCTGCAGGAGAAGTTCTTTCAGATTTACGACTCAACTGATGACTCTGAACACAACGACCTCCACAATGACCTTCACAATGACATAGGAAACATGTCGGAGGACAGCCCGACCAGGTCTGACACAGGCGGTGATGACCGGGGTGGAGATGACTTGCGCTCCGACAATGAGATGTCTGATCTGGACCCCGGCCATTTCCTGGACAGGGCAAGGGCATTACTTCAGGAGCAAGCCCTGCTGGCAGATGGGGAGAAGCCAAGAAGAGAAGGGCTTGGCCGGAGCAAAGGACAGGGAGGTCCAGGCTCCTCCATGCATGCTGAAGGTAAACAGCTGGCAGAGACACTGAAGCAGGAACTCAATTCAGCCATGACCCAGGTCGTGGACACAGTGGTTAAGGTGTTTGCCAAGCCTCCTCGCCCTACACCCCAGCAGGCCTTCCCCCCCTTGTCCATACCTCCAGAAAGATTTCCCACTGTTGTCAATGGAGACAACCCCAATTTCCACACCGCCAACCAGAGGCTGCAGTGCTTCGGTGATGTCATCATTCCCAATCCACTAGACTCCTTTGCCAGCATGCCAGGGATGCCAGACGCCACCAATGACCAAACCGAGGCATTACCCTTAGTTGTGAGAAAGACACCCAGTGAGCACCATCACCAGTCCTCAGCTGTGGGCGCCCACGGCGGACACCACCACCCAGCTCTTCACCCCTCCTCGCTCTCTGCCTCCATGGGCTTCAGCCCACCGTCTTTTAGACACCCATTTCCACTGCCTCTAATGGGCTACCCTTTCCAGAGTCCCCTAGGTGCACCTACAGGTGGCTACCTAGGAAAGGACCGCTCCTCACCAGACTCCATGGACCTGTCCCGGGAAACCACCAGCCTCAGAACCAAGATGGCATCAGGCCACCACCTGGGGCACCACCACCATCGTTCTCTTTCACCAGCACACCCTGGCAGCACAGCTGAGGGACTCTCCCTGTCTCTCATCAAGTCCGAGTGCGGTGACCTCCAGGACATGGCTGACATCTCACCCTACTCAGGCAGCAATGTATCCTTTAAAAAATCTTTGTGGTGTGTGAAAGTGTGTGTTTCTGTGTCTTTAAAAAGCATAACTTGAAGGTAAATACATTGACTTGGCTGTTTCAACTCTGCTTAGTCTCATTTAGACCGGCTCAAGCCTGGAAAAATCTGGTATCAGGTGGTCAGGATGTTAGAGGCAGGTGAGCAACAGTGCATCTGAACCACAGAGTTAAAAATCAAATCTTTTTTTTCTTTTCCGCCTGTTATAAACTAGCCTAAGAATCTGAGAAATTGTTGATGAATCACTTTTCCTCCCACTGCTGTTCTCTTCTCCATTGTACTGCATTGTTGTATTTATTTTTACACTCATACCTCTTCCTTCTCACAGTACCGAGCAGCCTTTTCTTCCATCTTCAATCCTAAGTGCCTTAAAAGCCTTCTTGTCACATATCACTTACTCACAAAGATTAGGTCTCCGCGACATTTACTGCCCCAATTCCTTTTTTAAAAAAATGGCCTCAAAGAACAAAGAGGGAGATAACATCCTGAAACTTGGCACACAATGGTGTTATATAGCTTCCCTTATAGGTTAACCCCAGTGTGCCCCAATCATACCCTACATATAGAGAGGCTTTCCCCTAAGGGAGGCTCAAATTGGACCCCTGGAGACTCGGGACTAATAGCTTAAACAGATACATTCAGTCCCTTCTCTGTTTCCCTTTTACCTCCTTAGCCTGTAAGTATTCGACACCCCTTAACCCTTATAAAAGTTTGATTCATGCAACAATGCTTGTCCTTTAAAGTGTTGTCTTCAGGTCATTAACATTTGTAACTTTATGAAGAAATTAGTCCAACAGCTGTTCTGCATCTATCTGTTTTAAAAAAAAGTGTGTTCACCACTTTAGATGCAGGTTTTGTTTCTTCTTTTTACCTGAGTGCCTTGCCTGTTTCAAGTGTGTGTCAGTGTGTGTGTGTGCCAGTGTGTGTCAGTGTCTTTTGTGTGTGTGTGCGTGTCACAAAAGGTTCGCCTGAGGACTCGGTAAAGATGTATATTTATGATTGCTTGTGTTTTCTCTTGTGTTCCTCTTATCATCCATCGCTGTTGAAAAAAGCCCACAATCATTGTCGTTTCTTTTCTCTTTTTTTCATTTCATAAAGATCTGTCAACAGCCCGGGGGGCCCTTCGGCTGTTGCTTGGCAGCCAAATACTTCTTTTTTTGTTTTCCCTCCCTGCACCCCCCTCCCCCCTATCTTTTCTTTGAAGCGGACGTTAACAGGTGTTTGCAGCGAGCTGTTTATCTTTCATTACCTCGCCTTGTCTTGTCTTCTGACCCAAGGGTGAACGCTTTCCAGAGATCCATAATCCTTTGCTTCTACGGGCTCCCGATGGAGGGATGAAAAGAGAAAAGGGAGAGAGAGACGCACAGAGACAGAGAGAAAGTAGAAAACAATCAAACAATAACCACATATGCCAGATGCTGTGGCTTTCATAGTAGCATTTATAAATTCAGGGCATCAACAGATGTACCCCCCTAAATGAAAAGAAAAGGAGAAGCATGTCAACATAGATTTAATTTTTTGATCTTGTTCTTTTGATTTCTATCTACAGGTTCAGAAACAAAGTTTGGCATTTACAAGATACAGTTTTATAATTTTTTTAAATGACCTTCACGCACTCGTGTTCACTCTGCTTTACAGCCGGTTCCTCAGATGTAGATAATTTTGATGTTCGAATAGTTTGTTTTCCGTAGCGTCAGAAGCCAGAGGCAGCTTGTCGGACATTTTGCAAGGAGCGTTCAAGTTCACCAGCTTTCAGCGATGTTACAGAGCAGATGGCCGCTATTAATTTCCCCATTTGTTCTCAGACTGACTCCAAATATTCTTGTCCTTACACCTGGAATTAGGAAGTGGTGCAGCTATTTTCCTCTCATGACTTTGGGCTTTGGGGAAGTGTTGTTAGAATGATGATGTCTTGTCAGATGTGGCAGGCGAACACTGGGCCAGCTGGTATGAGTGCACCATCATGACAAAATAATAGCCTTGCACGTCACCCCTAAGTCCAATCACAATTACATTTGCAAGCTGTGAGTGAATTGGAGATGAAAATGCCTCATCAGGAGATATGAGGCTTCTTAATTGTCGTCTGAAGGGAGGTGATACTGTGTTTATGGCTGGAGTGGTAAAAAAAAAAAAAAAAAACAGGACATCTTTGTATCTTTACAATAATTTCTAATTTCTTTGTTCAGAGTAAAACAATGCTAATCTGAAATGGAAAAAGCAAAAACAAATAAATCCAAAGTAAGGTGCAGAGATTTCAAATAATTCCACCTTTTCTTTGCTTGAAAAAGATCTCTCCCTCTCTCTCCCTCACTCTCTCTCTGTCTGAGCATCCATTGTATCCCCTCCACTTGGAGCAGATGGTGTGGTGTGGAGAGTGAAGTGCTGCTCTTTTGGCCAGGCCTGACAGAGTAACACCAGTCTGCCAGGGTTTCCCCCACAAGACCCTCGCTGCGTATACAACCAACTCTCCCTCTCTCTCTCTCCCTCTCTCCCTGAATCAGACAAAGTAGACAGGGTCTTTAAGGAGCCAGCCCAGTGTGGTTCAGCATTTGCTGGCTTTGCTGTGTAACCCTGAGGCCAAGGGCAATCCAATCTAACAGCTGATGCCTTCTTCCCGCTCTATAGTTACAGCTACATCTGGACACTTGACTGATTTTAATGATCACAGTCACCCCTGTAGATCATAAATAATGACAAAGGGATGTAATTTGTGTGCTCGAGTGTAAATAGTCTTCATGAAAACTTAAGCTTGTATCTTCTGTGTAATTTAAAGTCCTGTCTTGCATGTGCACGATGGAAACCCTTGTTGAAACAGCCTGAGGTTTTAACATGCTGCCTGCCCCCCATCCCCATTCCCCTTTTCAATGTCTTATCCTCCAGACTGATATTATCAGATGCATTATACGGCTGTTAATTCACCATGGAAATGGCTTGGGCCGTTCGGTGGCGCAGATGTGTTTCAGTCCCCCCCATTGCTGGCTGTGTCCAAAGCCTCAGAGCCCCTCTTCTCCTCCTTCTTTTTGCTCCTCCAAGGGTTTGGCAGCAGCAGAGAGGCTGGGGGGCAGGGGTGGAGCAGAGGGAGGAGGAGGGGGGATGTAATTGAAGGTTGGAACCACACTATCCCTCAAGGTGCCCCCACCAGCCCATCTCCTTCCTCACTGCTGTTCAATCCAGGCGATCCATTAGGAAGACAAGGCCTCTGACATGTAGTTTTGAATATGGCCTGTGTGTGGATGTGAGAAGGTTTTTCGTGTTGCTTGAGCCAGTGTTTGGTCCCATCTCCTGGACCTTGTTTTGTCACTGATATGAAGCCAACTTCAGACAGTCATATTCAGGCTTGGCATGTGTTGTCGCCAAGCCATTAGGCCTTCTTGCCTGTCACTGGCGTTAACTGCTGTCTTTGTCTGTGATATGCAAATGTCTCCTTTTTTCTTCCTCCTTTTTTTTGGTGGAGGTTAGCACAGGGTGTAGGCAAAGGCGTTTGCTTACTTTGACTGTGAAATGAGTCTCCTTATGTAAAAGCATCGGCTGTCGTGCTGGCCAGCATTTTATTAAGCGTGACGCTGTCACACCTGATATTAAAATTTGGTTACCCATCATCCAAGGGATTAATTCTAGACAAACTTTATGCCAATTGTTATCAAACACATCTCATATTGTATCCTCCAGTAAGCTACTAATTTCCTTAATCCCAGTTTTGTTCAGATCCAAGAGGGTCTCTCTCCAAATCATCTGAAGAAAGCCAAGCTCATGTTTTTCTACACCCGCTACCCAAGCTCTAATATGCTCAAGATGTTCTTCTCTGATGTCAAGGTAAGTCAAAGCCCACTCTTCTTCTGTCAGACCTTTGTTTGTAACCTTTACTAACATTTTTAGTTTAGAAACACTATGATTGTCTCTGTGTAGTCATCACTAGAGTTGTTTTGATCAACACTAAAAGTGGGTTTTGGTGAGTGTGCCTGTCGATGTACAGTTTTCATACCAAAACGAAAACACTTTCACAGTTTAATTTAAGGAGGAAACTTGTCATTTGCAAATATTCACGTCTAAAAAAAAAACAGAATAAAAAATGCACAGAAGATGCAAAGCAACTCTAGTTGTCACTTGTTTTCTGAACAATACTGTACAAATTGAAAGCAGCCAACTGCCTGCTCTTTCTTTCCTTCACATTTGTGACTTGGACACTTGGAACAGCACCTGTTTTAAAAGGGGAAGTTTATTATTTGTGATGTACAAGCTTCAGTTGGCATGAACACTGCATCCTTGTCTGTCTCCAAACGAGGCCCCTTCTCTCACCAAGTTATGGTTTTATGCAAAAGATGAAAGAAGAGGAAGTTGAATGGGTTTACATGAGGGAGCTAGAGAGCCTATGAGTATTCTAAAGATAAAGAGCGGGATGAGTAATGGAGGGGTGGAGAGGGCAGCGAGGAGGATGGAGCCTAGAGACGGAGGAGTGGTTATCCGAGCAGGTGTAGGGAGGATGGTTGGACGGAGAGAGGGTGGGGAGAAGAAGAGAAAGAGTCTGGAAAATGGCGAGGATGAGCATTGGATCCACGGAGAGTTTAATGAAGGAAGTTTGGAGAACAAAGCCCAATATATAAAGTACACAAAAAACAAGCACAACAACACAATGGCTGTTGTGCGTCTGAGTTTGTTCGTTGTGTTTTTTTCTTTGTTGTGTGTGCCCCTCTCGGACCGTGCGAAGGGGGGAAACACTCTGACATATCCAGGCCATCTAATTCAAATTAGGAGATAAAGGTCCTCTTTTTTCTCCAGCTGCCCTCTCTTGGATGCTTTTGCCTCTAAACATGGCTGTAGGTCACATGATATTTTTCTCAGTCCGTGATTGGTCAGGTTGAAAACTCTGCAAAGACAAATTTGTTCCAAAACTCTTCAATATATTTAAGCAAACTATATTGATGCTATTTGCTGTCAAACAACAGCAACACTGATGACCATTTTAGACTCGAACCACTTCATTTGACTGACTAATCATTACCAAGTAGGTGGCCCCTCTCCATGAATAGCCTCATCAGATACTTAAACAAGGTCAAGATAGTTAGGGGGATTATGAGTCACATTGGTTTGTTTTTGTTTTCAGCAGAGGACAATGGACTCTAGCTTTCACTTGGTAGACATGTATGGGAATGAGACTGACTATTTAATGAGATTCAACAAGCGAGGCCTCTTCGCAAGCAGCCGTCCTCAGACTTAAGTCTTGAAGGCTAATCAGGTCTCGACTAATCAGGTCTTGACTGTCAAGGACCTAATGAACGTGGGAAGTGGGTTGCCCTTACAACCGGAGGGACGCTGAAGCTGTTGTTCTCCTTGACTAAGCTCCTTTTAAGACGACTATGACTTTTTTGTGACTTTTGCGACATGTTTTGACAGATGGGTCATAATACTATTGTTGATGCCGCTAATGACCGCCCATAGTATCATCCCACTATCTTCAAGGCATCTCATTATCAGTGTAGATATTGTTTTAATGAGGGGTGAATAATTATGATAGATTAAAGAAAAGATTGAAAAAATATTCAGTCAATTAATGAAGGCGGCTTAAGTTCCTGCCTTTGCCAAGAAAAGGTTATGATGGATGTGAGTTATTCGTATCCGCTTTTAGACTTTCATTTTTCTTGAGTTTGTGAGTGAACTCGATCTTTGTCAAACACACCTTGCTGTCTTTGTCCATCAGGGGCTCTTTAAATATTTGGACCAGACATGTGCTGTGCTGTAACAAAGGTCAGGAGGGTTTTCCCCTTCTCTATATGTCATTCCTTCTCCTTTCTTTTTTTTCGCTGATGGTAGTGGTGGTGGCATGGTATGTGTGCCCTCGGCGGGGCCGGGGAGAAAGAAAAGCCAGCCGCTGGATTTGAGTCACCGCAGTAACAAAAGCCCGCTTTCCAGGGCCGCTTTTTGTGTGCAGTCAGCCAATAGGCAGCCGGAGATTATCTCCCACAATTCACCCCTGCGAAAACAGGAAACGTTGGAAAGCCCTGATGACTGTAAAGGGGCTTACGAGTGAGAGCGAGAGAGAGAGAGTGAGAGTGAGAGTGAGAGAGAGAGAGAGGGTGAAAGAGAAAGAGAGTGAGGCCCATACAGGCTTCTCAGTCTTTCTGCTCTCCTCTGGTTGTTCTAGATGTAGCTTAGCTCTGTGAGGTCATCTGTGTGCTTTCTGCTCGATTGTTGACCACTGTGTCAGAGACAGAGCTGGCCAGAGACACACTTTTGGTCAAGAATGATCTCTGAAGTTTACCTTCAAACAGTATTACATATAAAAAGATGCGAATGTTTGTGCAAAGTTTTGACTGACAGTCGAAACGTTCATCATACTTTTGGCAGGCGAGTGATATACTGGAGTTAAGGCCAAGGATACTTGAGTGTTTTCCTATTCTGGACTTCAGTATGCGCCTGTGCATGAGCAGAACATATGCGTGTGTGTTATGTGTGTGCGTGTTTGTGTGTGTGTGCGTGCGTGCGTGCGCAACCTTCTATCTTACACTGTTAGCACTAAGCGCTGACCTTTCACAGGCTCTTGAGTGTGAGTGTGAGAAACACGCTCTTGCTGTCGCTCTCTCATCTGCCTCTCAGCCTGATGCGCGCACACACACACGCAAACACGCATACGAATTTACACACACACCGACGCTCTTCAACCACATACATTGACTCAAACATGCACACTTAGACACACAAGGACACACATTTTCCTCCCTGCATCTCATGTCTGTGCTGGCTGACCCCTGCCAGCTCTGATTAAGGAGCTGCAGTGATGTGCTCCTTTGAACCCACTCCCTCCTTTTACACTGAACACACTCGTCCTTAGCTGCTATCAGGGGTCCTCTATGCCCCCCCACCAGCAACCTAATGAACCGAGACTGCTGGAAACTGCAGGGGGATGTGCCAAAATTGAGACCCTGAGTGAGTTGGGAGCAGTTGCAATATAATTTACTGTATTTACCGGCTTATATATTAAATATCGGATCTTTTATGCGCTTTCTCTGCTGTAATTGAGCTGCAGTTCAGTTCACTTTTACAGGAACTAATACATCTTCTCCTGAGCCGCTGGTATAATAAAGTAATCCTTGTCCAAAGTGACAAATCTACCCGTCACTCGGCTGCAGTGACACCAAAGGTCTCCTGCATGAGCGATGGTAACTCTTTCACTGCCTTTAATCTAAGAATGCGGCGTTCAATCTTGCACACGCTCAGAGGCCTGTGTACATCAACGCCAACTCTGCAAAGTCTTCCAACCAGGATCAGTGAGTCTTGTACTGATCTAAGGTGGACATGACGGCGGCAACTTGACTAAATAGGTGTTTTTGTGGCCTGTCACACTCCTACTGTCTGCCTCATTGTGTGTGTTTAAGAATAGCCCTGTGCAGCCGCTGTATTTGTAAGTGTCAGTAGTTTGTTTGTTTGACACTCAGATGTCACGACCCCAGCTTGCTGACTGCTCACGTTCCAAACCCTCTTTGCCCCCCACCACTACCAGCGAAACACCATTGTCCGACAGCACTGACCTGCACCCGTCCTCCTCTCCTCCCTCCCTCCCTTTCCCTCCCTCCCTTTCCCCATTTATGCTCACCCTGCACTTTACGACGGCCACCACACCACCCCTCCTCCTCCCAAAAACCCCTGCCAAACAATGTCAAGCGGTCTTATTCTTTTTCCACTCCACCATTATGTCATCTAGGGATCATTCCAGAAAGAGGTGGCCTTCTCCTCGGGTCCAACTTTTGAGCCTCTTTCGCCCGTGATACGCCAACTTTTCTGCCTGTCCCCTCGGCCTGGCCGTCACATCTTCGTGCGCTTCTTGCGTGTTTATTTGACTGCCATCCCAGATCGTGGAGAGTGCGTGTGCGTGTTTGTGTGTGCTTGTGTGTGTTGTCGAACAATAGCCGGAGCCTAATCTCCATGTCAAAACCGCTCTGCCTCCCCAGCGAGCAGTCTGCTCAGCATTTAGTAGCGTTTTGTCCCCCCATTCTTCGAGCGCCACAAAAAGAGCAGAGGGGAGGGAGTGACGGCCTGCATGTATGTGTGCTGATGTGTGCGCGTACGAAGGGTGTGGGTGATGTTTGCGGTATCAGGCGTTTCATAGGCTAGAATTTATTAGATGTCATATCAAGAGGTCACCGAAGAGGAACGGTGTTGTTTATATGTTTTTTAGGGTTTGATTAAGACTTCCAGTGGGGGGTTTTTAAGGGTGACTGGGCAAGGCTAGTCCTTATCTAGTCTTTTGGATGTTTAGACAGTTTGTTTTCACTGCTGAAACCAGGCGGAAAAAGAGCCGGGACCTTGCAGAGCCTCTTAATAGGTTTACCTCCTCCTATTGAATCCAGCCGAGCGGCACAGATCAGATAGCCACAGTCTTCTGTTATCTCCCTCTTTCTCTTTCATTCTCTTTTTTTTTTTTTTGCTCTTTTTCTTCTCCTTTCTTTCTGCCTGGGAGGTGCGAGGAGAGGGGAGGAGAATCAGGGTGTAATTGGTGAACGGGGTTAAGTACATGTTTGAGCCCCCTGCGGGCCAGGGCGCTTCAGATGATGACTTAATCGTTTTTCTGGTCAATTATGTGTTTGCGGTCTTGCACTACCCCCCTCCCTTCTTTCCACCTCTCGCTCCCTTTTTTCTACTCTCGGGGTTATGACAGGGGGGAGGTCTGCTCCCAGTGGGGAAGATGAACCACACACACACACAGACACACACACCCATTTTCGCTTCTTGCTCCCTGTCTTACTTAATGTCTTTATTATCATCCCTCTCTCCTCGACTTGTGATCTTCTGCTTTCGTCTTTCTTCTCTCCTCATAAGTCTTTCAAGTTTTTCCCCCTCATGTCTCGACTCCCCGATGTGAAACTAAGCACTCTCATCTTTACCCTTGCACTTAAATCTAGTGTGATAGTTTTTCTTTTTACACCATGTGAATTCAATATGTCGTAAGATCTCACTTGATAGTTTACTTGACACACTGAAGTCCTCTCTCTCTCTTTCTTATTCCAGTTTAACCGCTGCATAACCTCCCAGCTGATCAAGTGGTTCAGCAACTTTCGAGAGTTCTACTACATCCAGATGGAGAAGTTCGCCCGCCAGGCCATCAACGATGGCATCACTGGCACTGAGGAGTTGAGCGTCAGCCGTGACTGCGAGCTTTTCCGGGCTCTCAACATGCACTACAACAAAGCCAATGACTTTGAGGTAAACACCGTCTCTTTGAGTGACATCAAACGCAGACAAAGTTTTAAAAAGCTGTATGTCAGAGTCCAGAACGGATGTGGCTCATATAGAAAAAAAAGATGAATTTCACCTGATACTTGGGAATGCAGGCAGATAGTGTGACATCGTCTCATCTTGTCCTCTTTGACACCGCCTCATTGCTGTGTTCAAGTGTCTGGTTAATCCTGCTGCTCTCAGCACGCAAAAATATATTTCCGATGATTTCAAGCACAGCCGTGATTTTTATGCTTTTAAAAAATAATGAGAAAAAAACCTAATAGGACTTTAAGGGAAGAGGTGGAATACATTTTTTTACTTAGTAGGAACTCTTATTCAATGAGGAAGCTCAGTTACTGACACTTTGTGTCTCTTCCTCAGTGTTAATTTCTCTTGTGTGAAGGTGTGTGAGTGTGAGTGTGTGTGTGTGTGTGTGATTGGGTGGAACCACTTTTTACTTCCCTGTCCTCATTTGCCTATCCTTTGTGCTGAGATGTTTATGAGACCGTGTCTTCGAGTGTATTGTTATCATAAATTCTCGGCAGGCAATTTCACTTTTAGGATGTTTCTTTTTATACACTTCTCCTTTTGCCACCGCCTGTGTGTGTCTGTGTGTGTGTGTGTGTGAAACCCTTCAGGATCGCCAGTGCTCTCTCAATGTCAGCTGACAATAGACCTTTAAAAGGCTTGTGTTAAGAAGGACCTGGAGTGATCTGGGTTCACTTGTGTGTGTGTGTGTGTGTGTGTGTGTCCATGTTTGTGTGCACAAGTCTGAGTATGTGTGTGTTTGTTCGAAGATCGAATCCATGTGTGTGTGTGGGTGTTTTGTTGTTGCTGCATTTCCCAGTGTCCTGTTCACCTCGAAGGGTACAGCCGTCCCTTGGACCGGCCTGGCATGCTGGCAAAGCACTTCTCCAGTGTGTGTGTGTGTGTGTGTGAGTGTGTGTGTGTGTGCGTGTGTCACTTTGAGGGGGGAAAAAATCTCACTGTTATCAAGGTTAAGCGTCCCACTGTTTTAGTGAGAGGAAGGGGAGAGAAAGAGGGGGAGAGGGGGAAGAGGGAGATGGATAGATAGGGGATAGAGGGTGAGAGCTCAGAGACAAAGGAGAGAGCGATGAAGGGAGGGAGGGGGGGAATCAGGGGGAATGGAAAGGGGAGAAAGAAGGGTAGAGAGAGAGAAAGAGAGAGGGGGAAAAGAGAGATGATGTGGAGGAAAGAAGTGCCCTTGCAAGCAGTGGGAGTTTTGTAGCGCTCACATTTAAAGTGCTTCTCCCTATTTCTCTCTGTTTATCTCTCTCTCTGTCCGTTATTTGTCCACTGGGGCTCCTCTGTGCGCACCCTAACACACACACACACACACACACACACACACACACACACACACTCAGACACACACTTCGCCACATCCATCTTCAGTCCTCTTAAGGGAGGTTTTAAAAGACTCTGGCAGGCAGAGGCACTCGTACATATGAGGTCTCAATAAGCCCAAAGTCCATCAGAGCAAATAGCACAAAGAAAAATGACACAATGTTGTCTGTTCAGCAGCGAAGGGCGAAAGGGAAAATGGACGCGTTTAGTGAGAAGTGATCATTTCAAAAAAAGAGCTTTAAGTTGCCTTTAACATATGCAAATAACGCACCGCTAAGGTTTTAATTAAAGCAGATTGTGGTAAGGAAAAATGATGAAATAATGACACTGGTTTTGAGTTTGTTCTTATCTATAACAATTAACTTTCTCTATTTTTTAATTTACTCTAAAAAAGAAAAGGAACTCTCAAAAAGCTTAGTGTCACAGGACTGATTCAGACTGTGAAAATCTAAGTGAATGCTAATTAAAATAAAAACATTATTTTTTTATTTTTTATTATTTTTCAATACTTGGTGTCTTATTTTCAAACGAGCTATGAAATTTGATGTATTAAACTGTTTCTGGCAGCTTGGCAATATCCCTGGAATATGTCTTACCCAGGGAAAGGTATCAAAATTGCCAAAATGTCTCTAACGTTTACTCTTGAGAAGAAATCAGATTTTTTTTCTGCTCGATAAAGATTCTCGTCCCTGAATAAGCAGTCGCGTAAACTGGCTCACCAGAATCAAATTTGTGATACTAAGGTACAGAGTGCCTACTGCGATTAGTACATGACACATTATTTGCCAGTGTGCCAACAAGGTGGATATCAGCTGATGTTGAACTGACATATCAATAAATCCAGCTATAGTCGATGGGTCTCAAAAGGGGAGACTTTGGAATCATGCTAAAAATGAGAATACGATAATACCATGAGTTCTGTCACCCCAATTGCCACACACAATAAATCTGAGAAGATAAGAAGTGGTCCTTCTGAGGGATGATTTAACACTTTTAAAACTGACGTTTCAAGATCTATCAAAAAATAATGCTGTGTCCCCAGAGGGCAAATTGGGTTGCAGGGAGAAAAAAAACACACAAGGCATGAAGTTGGCTGCCAGTTGCTCCGTGCGCATGTGCCCAGGACCTTTCGGCCACAGGGCTGGGGATGTGGATAAATCATGAATTGAAACATCATTAGAAATTACCTCGCCTTAATTGCCTTTCTCAATATTTTATGGTTACAGTGGTCATGAGGTGAA